AAAAGGAAAACACTTTAGGAATTCTTCGTGAAATAATTTTAATGTAACATTCAGCACAGCTTTTCTCCTGAACATTTTAGATAAAGAAAAACAAAGGGAACAGAACTTGAGACATGATAAATGAACATTAAAAAAATGAAAATGAAACTAACAAACAAAAAACCACACACTGGCCCTGCCCTGCTGCTTTCCGATGAGCTATTCTTCCTTATTTTACTATCAGAGCAGTAATACCTTCAAGGTTCAACCTCTGATGTTGGAGCTCGTGACTGTGGATTTCAAAGTAAAGCCAAGGAAAAAGTCTCCACCTCCCACAGCGCTACGGAATACGCAAGTGGAAATTAAGAACACAATTGCCCATCTGATCTCAGTTTACTTAACTGAACTACTTAAAGGAGAACCACAGTCTGGAGTAAGAGGTTTGAACTAAACAATTACCTCATTAATCTTTTGGAGTAATTCAGGAACTCCTCCAAGTGTCATAGAAGTCTGCTGGTAGTCCCGATGCTGCAGAATCATTTGCACCATCTCTGGGTCTCCCGTACTGACAGCCTCGTGCAAAACTGAAAGAAACCAAGACACAAGATGGTTTTTGTTTCCTTTCTGAGCAAAATACACAGGATAAAAGCAGTCAAAATATACCATCTGCAACTGGTAGCTAAAGCATTAATGCACATCTTATGGTTTCCAAGTTATCTTTACCTGTCCATCCCGTAAAAGAAGTCAAAATATACCATCTGCAACCGGTAGCAGACGGTAGCTAAAGCATTAATGCACGACTTCTGGTTTCCAAGTTATCTTTACCTGTCCATCCCTGTGCATTCTCTTTAGTTACATCTGCCTTGTGTTGAAGGAGGACTTTGGCAGATTCTATATAACCCAAGGAAACAGCAAGGTGCAACAAGGTCCGGCCTCGTGGGTCACGTTGGTCAACATCCTGTTGAGTATCCGAGAGAGAAATAATGCTGAGGCTGTCCTGTCAAAGGCAACTAATCTGTGCACACCCAGAAAAGTTTATATCAAGAAAGCTTGTCAGTAGTAATCCTGGAGTCAATATTCCCCAGCTATTCCCACAAATCAGTCTGTGGGGCACAGCCAACTCCGTTTCCAATGCTACTGCACTGCCCTCTGCACAGTGTGACCTTACTTCCCCACTGAAATAAAAAGAGAAGCAGAACAGGGCCAATAAAAGCAGCACGGTAAGAACTGGCATCACTGTAAGACAGGACTGAGTTCTCGCTGATGCTTCTCATTTTTCTGTAATTATTTCCCCTTCCATCTCCCTTCAGAAGGGTTTCTTCCAGGAGAAGTCAGGAGTTGTAGTCTGTATGAATTGCACAGTGGATAGTCAACGGCCTGAGAGACCGATAGAGGGTTTAACATTCTACAAAATAATGGGAGGAGGAAAAAAAAAAAAAAAGTCACAGAGCATACAACACCGATTTTTTTATAGCACTTTTTGCAAGTATAGAAGCAAATGGTATTTTACAAAGCATCCATTTGACTGACACACACAGCACAATGGAGAGCGAGCGCGTTTTGTACAAGTCACTAAAAAAAAAAGAAAGAAAAAGAAAAACTACACAGGCATAAATATCCAAAACATGCAAGCACAACATACTCATACCTTACATATTTTTCATTATTAGCTTAGAGATTTGAAACAGAAGAGCATCTATAACTAAAGGAAAAGGGGAAAGTCAATAGCAGAATAAGAAAGTAAAGTTATTATGCAAGTTAACACGGTTATCTGACAGCACTGAGTTGGAAAGCTCACGCAACAGAGTAGGGGAAGCTTCATTTTAAACCATTCTCTTTCAACTTCTGTGGTGGAACACTAATTGATTTGCTTCCCCACTTCCTACAGCTCCAATGCCTGCTGCACTGACAGGTAAAGGACTCCAAGGTGTCCCCCTGCAATGGTTTTTTGCTGCTGTTAACCGGTAACCACACATTGTACCCGTTGTTTGCCATACCAAGTGCAGCTGGCAAGTGTCTTTTGATTCCCTCACGCAACCCTCCGACAGCAAGAAGCTTATCCCAAGGAAGCAGGAGGAAACATATCTTTGGAATACTTTAAAAAAAAAAAAGAAATTATTTAAAAGCAGATAAAGGAAGTAAGAGACAGACATATTCCATCTTAACACGCTGCTCATTTCCTTACAGAATAAAGCTTTTGAGGGAGGAAACAGCACTTCACGAGTGTGAATTGCAGTCTCAGACTTAACAAGAAGCAGAATGATCCTTATTTAATGTCAATCTTTCACAGGTGAGACTGACACAGAAATAAATACTCCGAAGCAACGTGCCAGTAAGGTTAAAGATTTTATTAAGGAATAAGATCACATGAATTAGATAAAAAGTAATTGCATTCCAAAGATTCTCCTAAAAACAGGACAGGAGCATGCTTTAAGCAAGCATTAGTAAATTGTGGTGTACTGTTAGAATTGCAGATGATAGTCACTAGTCAGGAGGTGGCACAGCTGATCTTTGGCTCATATACTTGTGGTGTCAGGTATAATGTAATTAATATGCTCTGCTTCTGCAAAGTATCCTCCACCCTAGCGAATGTCAGAGCTTCTACACAGCATCTCAGCAAAAAGGATGTTTGCTGCTCGAGCTCTGCTGCAGCTTTTCAGGCCATTTCCTTACGTCATTACCATTTCTCCCTTAGCCGTCCCAGAGAGGGAACAGCTTTGTATTTTTCTCTACTCTACAGCATGAAACAATTGATCCTTTTTTTTTTCTTTTATTTTTTTTTTTTAAGCAGAGATGCTGAAAACGTTCCAGCCAGTATAAAAATGCTGCCCTCACAGTCCTGGACAGCAACGAAGCCAGAAGAACTGCTGGAGCTCAGCAAGCTAGAGGCTGGCTTAGTCTTTGGCAGCAGCAGCCACCTTTGCTGCATGTTGACTTCCCATTAAGGTAAGCAGTATTTACTGCTTTTCTGGCCCAGAAAAAGAAAAAATTAATGTCCATTATATTTGCTCTTCCTGATCTGTTTCAATGACTTTCTAAAGAATACTTTCTGTAGAGCTATTCTGCAACCTGCACTCGAATGCTCTGAGAGCAGCTTTACAATAAAAAGTCAATGTTTAATGTCTTACATAACAAAAAGTATATTCCTACACCTTCTTACATCACTCCCGCAACCACAAATAAATCGGTAAAGAGAAAGAAGCGCAGCAATCCCACAAGCCCAGCAGACAGACCTGGCAGGACCATCAAGGTTACTTCTCCCTAGAAAGGCAGTAAGCGAGGGGGCACCAAGCCCTGCACCATGGCACAAGCTTTTTTTGGGGCCACCAGCCCCACAGCAGCCCCTCTATCGCCCAGGAGACCCGGTTACCTTGTCCTGCAGCTCCTCGTCCAGCCGCCTGTAGTCATTATTCCAGACCAGGACGTGCAGGGGAAACGCGCTGCTGGCCCTGCCAGGGGAACTCATCATGCCACACACCTGCAGGAGCGGGGGAAGCAGGGTGCCTACCCTCACTGTTCCCCCCCCTCTTTGTTTTGGAGACCCCAAATTACTCAAGCCTGCACCCCTTGAGCTTCTCCTCTCTCTCGGCACCCACCTGCCCCAGATGAGGGAAGGAGAACACCAGGTCACAACCCCCTACGAACCCTTCACCGCGCTCCAAGGGGCTCCCTGTGCAAAAATCACACTCCTGGGGGTCCCCTGCTCCTGGGCACAGCCCCCCCTCTCCTTGGCCCCACACTCTTGGGGGTCTCCCTTGCTCCTGGGGGTTGCCCTTCCTCCTGAGCACCCCCCCACAGCCTCACACCCACACCCCTTGAGCTTTTCCTCTCTCTCAGCACCCACCTGCCCCAGGTGAGGGAAAGAGAACACCAGGCCACAACCCCCTACGAACCCTTAACTGTGCTCCAAGGGGCTCCCCCTGCACCCCTTGAGCTTCTCCTCTCTCTCGGCACCCACCTGCCCCAGATGAGGGAAGGAGAACACCAGGTCACAACCCCCTACGAACCCTTCACCGCGCTCCAAGGGGCTCCCTGTGCAAAAATCACACTCCTGGGGGTCCCCTGCTCCTGGGCACAGCCCCCCCTCTCCTTGGCCCCACACTCTTGGGGGTCTCCCTTGCTCCTGGGGGTTGCCCTTCCTCCTGAGCACCCCCCCACAGCCTCACACCTGAGGGGACCTGCCCTGCTCCTGGTGCCCCCCCCAGTCTGGAAGTCCCCTGCTCCCAGACACCTTCCTCCTGCCTCAGCCCCACACTCCCAAGGGATCTCCCCTGCTCCTGGGCTCCCCCCAC